CACAGCCCGACTCTGTGGTCCCAGAGAAGACTACAGTGACCTTCCTATGTGAGGGGACCACAGGAGCCCAAGAATACCGTCTGTATAAAAACGGAAACCGTTATTTAACACACAGAGAGAGTCCATTGAATTCTCACAACAGGGCTGAATTCTCAATCTCAAAAATAGGCCAGAAAGAAGCAGGGCGATACCAATGTTGCTACCAGACCAGTGATGGATTGTCAGAGTACAGTGATTCCCTGGAGCTGGTGGTGACAGGTGAGAGGATTCACAGAGTCCACAGCATCAGGTTTGTCTGTCAAGAAGTGCTCTGTACATAGGGATGACTCCCCTTACGGGTAATAAGTTCTTTGAGGACATTTAATTGATCCCTCTTCTGTCCTAGGGGCCTACAGTAAACCCAGTTTGTCAGCCCAGCCCAGCCCTGTGGTGACTGAAGGAGGGAGTGTCACCCTCCAGTGTGTCTCAAGGCAACGGTATTATTTGTTCAGTCTGACTAATGAAGGACCACAGAAGCGCTCATGGACACTGGACTCAGATTATAATGGCTCTACTCAAGAATACCAGGCCCGTCTATATGTAGGTCCTGTAACCTCCAGCCAAAGGTGGACATTCAGATGCTACAGCTTTAATGAGAACAACCCACTGATTTGGTCAGAACCCAGTGACCCCCTGGAGCTCTTGTTCTCAGGTGAGGAGGCAAAAACTTTCCACAGAATGATGTTGGAATGACAGGTCCTGAGGGAGGCCTTGGTGTGTGGTGTGTGAGGAGCCAGGGCTCCTTAGTCCATTGACACAGATCGTGGGAGACAGAGGGACACAAGATAGAAAAATCCAAGGAACACAGTGACATCAAAGCCCAGTAGCTCCAAGACAGACAGGAATCTTCATGGAGCCTTGTTGCTCTGGATCGGCTTAAATGGCATTCACCAGAGGTCAGGGAATGCCACAAAAGAGAAATTGGAAGGGTTGGAGGAGCCAGAGCCCTCAGGATACCAGGAGAACACTGCTCACAGGATCAACTATGCAGGGACCATGAGGGCTCACAGACTGAAGCAACAGCCAAGGCTCATGCATGGGTCTTCCCTAAGCCCTCTGCACACAGGCTGTGATGATTTTTCTGTTTTATTTTGTTTTGTAGTTTAGAGGTTCAATGTGTAGCCCTGTCTGTCCTAGACGTCACTCTGCAGACCAACGTGCTCTTGAACTCACAGCGATCTGCCTGCATTTGCCTCCTGAGTGTTGGGACTAAGGGGTGCACACCAGTGCCTTAGTAGTTTGGGAGTTTTGTTAGAATCATGACAATAGGAGTCTGGAACTCTGTGACTCTTTTGCCTGCACAGGGGAACTCTTTTCTCCTACTGGGTTGCCTTCCCCAGCCTTAACAAGAGGGTGTTTGCCTAGTCTGACTGCATGCTGTTATGCCATGTTCCATTAATGTCACTGGGAACCTCGCTCTGTTCTGAAGGGAAACAGAGGAGCTGTGGATCTGGGGGAGAGGGGAGGTGAGGGGGGCTGCTGTCAGGATGTATTCTTTCACAGAAAAATCAATTAAATAGAAAAAAAATAAAAATAAAAGACATTCTCTGTGCCACTTTCTGACAGACCCACGCCCTTCTCTCCTATTTCTTTGCAGGGACCCTCCACAAACCCACCATCAAGGCTGAGCCAGGCCCTGTGATTGCCTCAGGAAGCCCCATGAACATCTCATGACAGGGGACCCTGGATGCAAAAATGTGTTTTCTGCATAAAGAGGGAAGTCAACAAACCTGGGGTACACAGACCCCAAAGGAGCCTGGGAACAAATCTACATTCTCTATTTCTTCTGTGACAGAGAGCATTGCGGGGCAATATCGCTGTTACTGTTACAGCTCAGCTGGCTGGTCAGAGCTCAGTGACACCCTGGAACTAGTGGTGACAGGTGAGGGGACATCAGAGTCTCACTGGGAGGCTCTGCTCTCAGGAGTATCCCCTCCTGAAGCCTAGCCCTGAACTGTGAAATCCCATGTAACAGGCTGTTCCTTCTGTTTTAGGAATCCACAACACTAAACCCCGACTGACAGCACGGTCCAGCCCTGTGGTGACCTCAGGAGGGAACATGACTCTCCAGTGTGTCTCCTGGGTGTCCTATAACAAGTACATTCTCACCAAAGAAGATCAGAAGTTTTCCAGCTCCCTGAACTCACAGTACATAGGAAGTATTATGCAGTACCAAGCCTTATTCTCTATAGATCATGTAACAGCAGACCACACAGGGACATTCCGATGCTATGGTTACTACAAGCAAACCCCACAGCTGTGGTCAGCACCCAGTGATCCCCTGGAAATACACATCTCAGGTGAGTTAGCTCCATCACTGACCAATCACTCATAACAACCTAAGCCTTTTGCTGTGCAAGAATGCCACTGGTGTGGTTTCAGATAAAAGGAAAATCTTGGTTGCTGATCTAGAGCCCCACTCCTGGGAAGAATCAGAGACATGTGCAGGGCAGGATGGGTGGGGATCAGTGCTTGAATGAAAACCATCTCCTCTGTCACTAGGCTGTCACCTTCCCTCTAGGTCTGTCCAAGAAGCCCTCTCT